CCCAAAAAAATATAAAATCGGTGTCTAGAACTCATTACGGCCAATTTTGGGGTTCCAGCACGGCGTCGACAGTTCGCCTCGCCCTGCCCGATTTTGGCCAGTTTTGGCTGTATCCTTACAAAAAAAAAAACACGTTAGGGAGCCTCAGTTGGCCGAAAAATCACAAAATAAAATTGAACCTATCGGCAAGGGACCTCTGGGTGCGGCGGCTCCGTCGATTTTCCTTCACAACTGAGGTTTTTTCTTCTGCTACCCTGTACAAAAAAATACAGTGAACACAATGATCAATAAATCACATGAAACAGAAATCGAGAAGGAGCTCATCGGAGAGATTTTAGGATTTTAGCTGGGGTGGCTCCGTCGGGATTTGCCTGTAGTTTTCGACTCACTCGCCATCCTCTTGCTCCGATTTGACCATATGGGTACTCAGAATCGAATTCTGAATGGGTAAGAGAAATTTTTACCTTTTTTGGTGGTCGGCGGTGGCTCCGATGCGGCGGCAGTCGGCGGTTGGCCTCCTTTTTCGGTGTTTGGTTCTTCTTCTTCGGCGGGGACTAGCGGCTAGGGTTCAGATTCCCATATGATGCGAAATATTTATAACCATCTCGCGTTGATCTGGACCGTCCATCGTAATCGATCTCATTCGTTCGATCGTGCGTAAGGAGGAAATGAATCTGAGCTGTTCATCGCGATTGATCTCGACCGTCCAATTACACCTAAAAGGAAAATGAATCTGGGCTATCCATGCGCACGGAATTGGCCCTAGGTTATCCGATCACGGGGCACGTAAATCGCAAGCGTGGCCTCACGCGTGGTATTGACATCAGTGTGCCTTGCCACGCGGTGCGCTTCGATTCGTTGAGACCGTTGACTAGGCAGTCTTATGTGGCCGAACTTTTTTTATATGCACTTTGACCATATGTTTCTAATTTTTCTTTCAAAAACCTCCACAAAACTCAAAATTTTACCCATTTTTTTCAAAATTATTTTCAATATCATCCCTAATTTATTTTTTCTCAAAATTTTTCTTAACAAAAATAAAATAAATTCCTCAATTATTTTAAATTAATAATTAAAAAATAAAAACTTTACAAATATTTTTAGTAGGCATATAATTGTAAGAGTTCTCACATATTGTAAGAATGTTAAGTTGAAATAATAGTTAATGTATATTTTAAACTATAATTTCCGTGTATCTAAGTTAAGAATATTAAATTTTAAGCCATAGCTAATTATTATTGATTCAAAATTTCACTTGGATCTAAATAAGATCTTATTTCCACAAAGCATAAGCTATTGTTGCGCATTAATTTGAATATATAATTTTTGTATAAAAAATTAAACTCTTAAAAACTTAAATTATAACACCCGTAAAATTTTAAATAGAAACCCTTGTACAATTAAAGATTTGTAAGCATATGCTGCAATGTTTTAATTATAAACAAATGATAATTATAATATTTAGGTCAAAACATGTGTTAATTAAAAATAATTATAATTTTTCATTAATCAAAAAGTTTGCGAATAGGATAGTCTTTTTTTTTTTAAAAAAAATATTTTATAATATGTATATCTTGTATATAAACGTTATAAAATTATATTTTATAGTACAGGCAAATCACTTGAATTTAATTTTAAAATAGTAAAAAAGGACGAGATTAATTTATAATATATGTTTAGACTATAATGAAATTTAATAATATGCGAATCTTATTGTGAAAAAAGAAGGGAATATCTCAAAGGATAAACCCCATCGTTAGCACCAAATCAGCAATCCGGTCAACAACTTGTACCTTTTTAAAATATCTCCACATAAAGCCGGCTCACACAAGCCGCCGCCGGGACTTAAAAGCCGTCAGTCGAGCCGCGACCAGTAACAAAAGCGACACTTCTGCCACGTGTCGGTTAAAAGGCCCAATATTTAATTTTTAAAAAATAATGAGTAGTGTTTTTATAATTTTATTATTTATTTGTCAGAAATTGGCTGGTGTTAAAAGGGAATAAAACGGGAGATATACGGACGAAAAACGGATATTCCAGACGCGAACACTCGAATATTCGTGCTTTACCGTTATATCACCCCACCCACCACCTCTTTTCTTCCTCCTGCTCCGCTTTATCTTCAAAACACCTTAATCCCTTTTCCCTCATTTTCCCTCCGATTTTCTCTCTAACCAAACATGAAGTTTGGAAAGAGCCTCAGCAATCAGATCGATGAAACCTTGCCCGAATGGCGGGACAAGTTCCTTTCCTACAAGGACTTGAAGAAGAGGTTGAAGCTCATCGAACCCAAGCCCGCTGACCGCCCCAATAAACGTCCCAGATTCGACGCCGTTGCGGGAGATTTTAGCGAAGCCGGAGTAGTCGGCTCCGGGGAAAGCATGTCGAGGGAGGAGATTGATTTCATTCAATTGCTGGAAGACGAGCTTGAGAAATTCAACACTTTCTTTGTTGAGAAAGAGGAAGAGTACATCATAAGATTAAAGGTGCATAGACATATATTCTAATTTTTCCTTTTTCTTTGGTACGATTTATCCGGAATTTATCTCTGATATGTTTGGTTCAATGACGAAATTGTTAAAATAGTGTATGATTAGAAACCCCTATTTTTTTTGTTTCGTTCCTTGATCCTTCTTTTATTTTCCCGGTAAACAAACAACAAATTATTAACCCATCCAAACCCCTTTCTGCATTTTCATTTTTTTTCCCTGAAGTAAATACAGTACGCTGTTTCTTATAACTCACACCACATGCTCATCACGAGTTTAGGATAGTTGCTCATTCGATTTCTCGAAGCGGGTCATTTATTATTCCTCCCTTTCTCACTTAATTCTTGGAGGTGCAAATTACAATCCTCCTCGTAGCAACACCTTGACAGTCCGCTAAAACCCGTTGAGTTGTGGATTGGGCCAATGAAATGGCCCATATCACAATCCTCCACAGCTTCAAAGTTTATTTATTCTCGTAGACAACCACCAATCCTAAATCGTCAATTGCTACTTTAACAGTAACAGTGCTCGCAAATCGCAGGAACCCTTTGGTTAAACCATGAACGAAGCTGTGCTCTGGTGTATTCTGTTAAAAATATTAACAATGTGCTTCGTTTGCTCCTTTTCGCTCCGTAATCGAACTTTGAAGCTGAAATTGCGCCTTTTTTGGGTTATGTTGGTGCAGGAATTGCAAGATATGGTAGCGAAGGCAAAGGATTCAAGTGAAGAGATGACGAAGATAAGGAAAGAGATTGTGGATTTCCATGGAGAGATGGTTTTATTGGAGAATTACAGTGCTCTTAACTACACAGGTGCATTACAGCTCTTTCCTTTTACTTCTGTTGACATTGGTGTTTTCTTGGGATAGAAATAGAAATTGGTGTTGAAATTAGAGATTGGATTCCAATTTATGATTAGTTACTAAATTATGCAGGGTTGTAGAATGAACTCTATAGCTCTTTAGTCTTAGTTGTTTAGTCTTTATGGACCTAGGTTGGAGTTTAACGTATGTTTGGACCTAGGTCAGAGTCTAGATTTTTTAGTTGCTTACTACTGGCTCATAACAAACTGGTAATGGTCAAGAGAACGTTAGATTTTTTAGTTTATTACTGGTTCGTAAGAGGATGTTACTGCTCTCTCTGTAAGCGATTGTATTATCTCTTCACGGAACTGGGTTGGAGGTTACTGTATGTCTGCGTAGCAAAAGTTATAATCTATGAGATAAGACTTTTGGTTTTGTTAATATTCTTGACTGTTGAGACAGCTTGTCATCGCAATTATTAATTAGGCAAGATGGCAAATGGGTCAGACAAATCCAATTGGCCCCTATTAGAATGTCTTTGCTGTTCAGGATTAAACTATGCACCTATATAAATTAGGAAGGGATTACTTATTTAAATCCCTTAATACACAGCATAAAGTTTGATTATCCAAGAATTTCTTCTTCTGTTGTGAGTGGATGTGGGTTGTGGCCTTTGGGGTGAGTTAAGGGTCAAATATCATTTACATGTACTGTTACATGTATAGCTGAAAGTGGCTTACATAATGTAATATCAAATTATGTAGTTTGCATTTAGAATCTAGCTTGTGATTCCCTTGCTTGCTGCTATCTTCTAAGTCAAGCTACTTCGGGTTGTTGTCATAAGAAGCTTGTTCTATATTCATATAGGCACCAACTTATTGCTTTCTGTGGAATCAAATTGGGTTTTTTTGTCTCAAACTGATTAATTCACTGACGTAAACAGGATTGGTAAAGATACTCAAGAAGTATGACAAACGAACTGGTGCTCTGATTCGCTTGCCCTTCATCCAGAAAGTTCTGCAGCAACCTTTTTTCACCACAGACTTGCTCTACAAGCTCGTGAAGGAGTGCGAGGCAATGCTCGACCGCCTCTTTCCCTCAAATGACAAGTCAGCATGTACTGAGGCACTTAATGGGGACGAAGAGTGTGATCCTTCAACTTCTGAAACTACTAAGGACGAGAATCTGCTGAGAGTTCCTAAGGAGCTTGCAGAGATCGAGCACATGGAAAGCTTATACATGAAGAGCACTATATCGGCTCTACGAGTACTAAAGGACATTCGAAAAGGAAGCTCGACAGTAAGTGTGTTTTCCTTGCCGCCGCTGCAGATAAGTGGGTTGGAGGATGATGCTTGGAAGAAAATTCCTGTTCTGGAACAAGCGGCCAAATAGATGGATTTTTGTCAGAGGGAATTTCACTTGTGTTCCCCTCCTTTTTTTTTGTATCATCTTTTTTTTTTTTTTTTCCCCCCACTTTAATCTTTTACTTTTTTAGTTCCATGCCTCTTATATGCATTGTCTTAGATACTAACACACTTGTAAAATGCTAAACTTAAACTTGGATGAATTAAAATATAAGTACAAGTTTCCCGTTTCCCAGAACTTTCTATTTCTCCATGTTACAGCTTTTATAAGGTTGAAAATGAACGTTTTCACTTTGCCTTTTGCTTAATTTGTTACAGCTTAAATTGAATATTTTAAAGTGAATGCAAGCAAAAATAATTATGCTTACTGAAGTTTTTTACTTGCCAAAACCAAAATTCCATCTCCAAGACTTGAACTATTTTTTTTTTTTTTTAAGAAAAAAAGGAAGAAAAACCAGAACGTACACTATATATATATATATATATGCATATCCTGTACCGGACGACAAACAGGCCGCGGCAAGAGTGAATGTCAAGAACCCTTCGGAAAAGACCTCTGGCCTCTATAAACCCAGAAAGTTCAAACTTCAAAAGCCTATATTTATATATGCATGTGGATAAGATTTGTGAAAGGAGTTAGTCGAAATGATACCATTTTATATTAAGCACTGTATTATGTTCCTTCTATTATGATATCAATATATGTTTAATGTGGGGATGATCCTGTATCATCGTCGTAAATGGTGATGACTTCTTTTCACACACCTCCCTGGAAAAATGAGGTAAAAAAAAAAGTTCTGCCCAAGAAATTTAGTGGACTTATTGTAAATTTCTTTAAGAAAGATGGTCTAGATTTTTCTCCATTTGGGTTTTATATATTATATGTAATCTCTTCATTCTATTGTATTTATAAAAAAGACCATATTATAAGCATTTACGTACAAAAGTTGCAATAATATCTATCAAATATAATTTTAGTTTCAAGGCACGTGCTACTTGCCAAACTCATAAATAATTTTTAGTGTATACATACATACATATATATATATATATATAGATTATACTTAAATCAGAAAATGGCTTCTGACTGTACTGAGCAAAACGATCATTAATATATATAGTTTGTGCAATTACAACTAATTGACATTATTTATCATACATGTATATATTTTACGCAATCACTAGCTGTGGGTATTTGACGATCCACTCGCTGTATTATATATTAAATTTAAAATTTAAAATTTTATTTTTATTAAATATATAATTTATACTTTTTTAAAGTTATAATATTTTTATAATTATTTTTATTAAATAATAAATAATTTTCTACTAAAAACATTTGTTCACGCGGATACCTTCCTTAATTGTCACTTTATGTGGGCAATTCTCCATTCTAATTTTAGGTCAATTCAATTGTAATACCTGATTTCGGAGAATTGGTCCGGGATAAATTTTGTTAATTTAGAGATATATAAAAAAATAAAATAAAATACATTTTATCAATTAATTTAATAAAATTTTTATTTTATTTGAAAAAAATAAATTAGGGATGAGATTGAAAACAATTTTGGTAAAAAAAAAATGAAAAATTAGGTTCGGATGGTGTTTTTGAAAGAAAAATCAAAAACTAGAGGTTAGAACGTAATTTTAAAAAATTGCACTACATAGGACCGTTCAATCAGCAGACTCGATGAACTGGAGCGTTGCGCGTGGCAAGACATGCTGACTCGGTGCCATGCTGGTGATCCGCGTGTCCCCGCGATTGGACGACCCATAAGCGTTCCCACGCGTGTGGACGGCTGGATTCGTTCCCTCATCAAGTACGATCGGACGGTCGCAATCAAATGCGATGAACGGTCCAGATTTTTTCCTACTTATGCGCAATCAGACGAAGGAGATTAAATGCGATGAATGGCCTAAATTAACGCGAGATGAGTATAAATATTTTGCATCACACAGGACCTGAATCTTATCCGCCAGCCCCCCGCCGAAAAAGAAGAACCAACCACCCGTCACCGCACCGGAGCCACTTCCGACCGCTAAGAAAAGTAAAAATTCTCTCACCTACTCAGAATTTGATTCCGAGCACCCCTGTGGTCATATCGAAGCAAAACTACAGGTGAGCCGAAAATCGCGGGTAAAGCCCGGTAGAGCTGCCGCAGGCAAAACTCACAACTGCCTCCAATGAGCCCCTTCCCGATTTTCGTTTTATGCGATTTTTCTACTGTTCTGTTTTCTACAGGTTGATAAAAGAAAAACACCTAATTGGGAAGGTGAGCCAGTGGAGCCGTCGCACCGAAAAATTACACTACCAGTAAGTTTTCGTTTTTTTAATTTTTTTCGACCAATTGAGGTCCCCTGACGTGTTTTTTCGCAGGCATTGGTATAAAATTGGCCGAAACCGACTAAAAATAGCCAGACCGAGGCAAATCACTGCTGTGGGCGGCAGTGCCGCGGTGTCGGAATCTTGAAATTAGCCGAAAAGTGATTTTAACATCGATTTTAGATTTTTGGAGTATTTTTAGGTACGTGAAGCGTGTTTTAATATTCGCCGAAAAATTAAAAAAACTTGGGGACCGCCAATAGGTGTAATAGACAATTAAGTATTTCGAACACCGATTCGGGTAAGAATCATTCACCTTATTCTCTGTTATGGAATTAAAATTTAATTATCGATAATATGCTATTTTGTGTAATTTAAAAATTTTTGAGAATAATTACAGGTTACTAATGGAGCCGGAACCGATTAGTTATTTATTTGTTTGTCTTGTATAACTAATTATTTGTTTTTATAACTTTAAATACATAAGAATATATTGGAATAGTTGAATAATTCAGTTGTGCTTCCTTGATATATATATTGATTGTCTTATGTGATTTACGGTTGATTTGTGAAATTGAAAATTAATATGCAAACAGGAAATTGATTAGTCATGTGAATTAATAAATTGTAGCTTTACTGAACATCCTGAGAGATGGTGGACGGACCGAGTACATAGGAAACTCCACTCTGAACGTTGCCTCATACCGGGCGGGGTATCGAGGAATGGTAATTTTGACGCTCATATTGAACGGGGTATGAGGACGGTCCGATTCACCCTTATACCGGACGGGGTATCGAGGGATGATATTTTTAGCGTTTATACCGGACGGGTTATGAGGACAATCGGTTAGTTGACAATGTAGAATATTGGTTCACGCGTAGTGGGCCATCTTTATGGACCCTCGGGGATAATAGTAGGCAAATAAAAAAGGAAACTGGTTGTTATTGCTCACTTGAAAATGGAATTAGAATATTATTTAAGTTATTGTCTCTATAGGTTGATTATGAAAATCTTGCAACGGTATGATAAATGAATTTACTTAAATCAAGAGCTCAATTGGTTGTTTTTATAATTTTTACTAACAGTCAGTTTCTGTATCGGTGAGTAGTGTGATATTCTTACTGGGTTAGTGTAACTCACTTTTAACTATTTCATATCAAGAGAACTAAAACCCAGATCTTGATCAACAAGAGGGTTATGAATAGTTCACTATCCAAATTCCCTTCAAAAGCTAGTGAATGTCGTCCTAGAATGCTCAGTATATTGCCTTTGTTTATTTCTTTGATTTTCGATTGTTTTTTCAGAATGGACATTCTCGTATCCTTATTGGGATTCTAAATTATTGTGTAACGAATGTAACTCCTAAACTCTATTATTTCGCTTCCGCATTTAATTTATGATTTTATTTTCTTTTAAGTTCTAGATCACTACAGTTGGTATCAGAGTCGCATTCCTCGTAACCATTCCTTACACAAAAAACTTAAAGAAACACAAAAAAAATGAATTATCGCTCAACAATTTCCTGTGAAGTGCAGGTACAGATAGATGAGTAGAGGAAGACCCCCACTAAACCGAGCAGTCCAGGAGTGTTCGCTTCGAGATAATGTTGACTGACTCTTTAAAATACTGGAGAGACTCATCACTGCCCAGCAGGCCTGGGAGGAAGGGAAGGAGCTACTAGACCCTCCCCTGATGCCACAACTTGAGCTACCCCTGCAGCGGAAGGATCTTGAGCCACCCTGGTACAACCCTACTCCTCCACAGTACCATTTGGCACTACCACAGTATGATTCGGTGCCTCGACCGTATCATCTAGTACCACCATAGGGCCATTCGGTCCCTTCTACAGATCAAGTTCCACTCATGATGGACTCAAGCTACATTGAGAGGTGCAAAAGACTAAACTCATCTACTTTTGCAGGAACATCTTCCTTTAAAGAAGCCAAGTACTAGTTAGCTAAAGTAAAGAAGGCTTTCATGACTCTTAAGGTGGTTCCCAAACAGAGAGTTATACTTGCTATCTACATGCTGGTGGAAGAGGCAGATCGCTGGCGGCAGCTCAAGCAGGCCACCCTGCTCGTTCCAGTTACTTGTAAACAGTTCTTGATGGCCTTCAATGTTGAGTACCTCTTAGAGCATCTCCGACATCTGAAGAAAATTGAGTTTACACACCTAGTATAGGGTGATATGAATGTGTCAGAATATGCCCGAAAGTTCTTAGAGTTATGTCAGTATTCCCCTAAAAACATGATGGATGAAGGCAGAAAGACAAGGAAGTTTGAGTGGGGCCTTCGTCCTGAGATTAGACAGCAACTGTATGTGTTTGAGCTCAGTACTTACTAATTTATTTTGGCTAAGGCACAGCTAGTGGAGAGGAACCTTCGCATTTTTCCTCCAGCAGTGAGGAACCTCAGGCCCCCAGTTTCACACCACAGACCAGCACCCATTGTACCTATTCAGTAGAATAAGAGACCTAGGCCAGTGACTTAGACTCCTTCTCAGATTTTGGTAATAGGACGCAGTAGGACCTGCCAGTACTATGGCAAGGATCATGGGAACTGACCTTGCTATCATCTTAATAATACTTACCGTATATATGGGAGTGCCCAACACTACACGAAAGAGTGCCCGAGTAATCAGAACCAAGCCAGACTTCCTATCTAAGGTAGAACTTACAACCTTATTCAGCAAGATGCAGAAGCCAACTCATACTTGGTACATGGTACGTACATTATCTGTAATTATTTTACATATATTTTGATTGATACTAGTGCCTCACATTCATTTTTCTCATATGCTTTTGCACCAAACTTGAATGTATTACCCTAAGAATTTGATTTTATGTTATTTATATCTACTATTGGGAGTAAGACACTACTAGAAAATATTATATACAGAGCTTATATCATAGATA